ATATATATATATAATATATATATATATATATATATATACACACGTGATTATTTTTATCACGTTTCGTAGCACGCGTTAACAAACCGTGATATATTCCGAAAATTGGATTATAGCGTTCGAATAGATAATCTTGAACCATCGCGAACACCACATTTCGTTTGCTTAAACGATTATTGTTTCAATTTCTATCTATCTATCTATCTATCTATCTATTTACCTATCTACCTATCTACCTATCTATCATCTATCTATCTATCTATCTATTTATTTATCTATCATCTGTTTGTCTATCTATCCATCCGTCCTATCCATCCATCCATCCATCCATCCATCCATCCACTTATCTATTGGATAATTATTTTCGTAATCGGAATTAAGAAAAATAAACGTTAAGGTCCGTTACGCATCGTGAACCTGTTGTTGTGAGTCGTGGTTGTAAGCAGGTTGTACGGATAAACGTACAAGCTTATAGCGACGCGAGGAACGATTCGTTTCGAATCGAGCGAATGCAATACGTACGTTCGTATAAAATATATGTGATTTTTACAACACAGATACTAAGATATCGATGAAACGAGTTTTTTTTTACGTGTATTTATTTTAAAAATTGGCGAAAATTTTAAGATTTACGATTATATTATTTCTAAGCATTTCCTTCTCTTCCTTTCCCTTAATTACGACAATCGATCCTCGATATATCCATTTCGTTGGTCTCCGCGATCGAATTTCGATCGTCGACGTTTTTCTTTTGCCTCCTTTTGTTTTTCTTTTTCATCGCTTTGTTACCGATGCGTCAACGATGCGTAACGGATCCAACTGTCCGTTTACTACGTATCGTACAAATTTCAAATAGTCGAACGTTATCAGTTGAACGTTATTAATATTAACACTAACGAAATATCTTGAATTAAAAAGTTAAAAATAAAAATTAACGTTATAAATATTATCTATCTTAGGTGTTGAACAATGTTGAAATACGTTTCATATATGATTGTTTTCCAAATTATTAATATATCATATTTTTTATTTAACGAACAGACACCATGTTATTGGCCGTGGCAACATAAAATCCCTGATAACATGGAATATGCTATTTATCTGGCTAAGAGAACTTTAAGAAACAAGCAACGACACGCTCTTGAAGATTACGAAATTGTATGTAAATTTTCATGATTTTACTCCAATGGATAATCGATCGAACGTATTTTATTATAGCTTCGGCAAATATTTGATTTATTCTCATAGGAAGCTTTAAACAGTCTACGTAGGAACTTGCAGAACAAGTGGGATATGATACAACTTCAAGCTGAAGAACAGGTGAATGATCGATCAGTTTTGAGAGAGACTCGCGTTTCATTAATTAGCGATCCATTAATTCCTAGATGATCGAAATCGCATCGAAGTCGCGAACAAACATTGACGACAAAATAATTATTATTTCGAATCGATGAATAATATTTCGATCCTTTTATTGAAAAATTCCAAAATTTATCCATTCGTCGATGTTGCTTAAAATTTAATCAATCTCATAATCTCACGTACGAAATGTGGAATTGTCATCTCCTCTAAGATAAAATTGCATCATTATCGGTTTACGAAATTGCGAAAGACATTCGCTTTTCCCTCTCATCTATCGTATATATCGATGGTATCGTGATCGAGTGATCGATTAAAAAAAATGTATCGAGATGGATCGCTGTTACGTTTAACAGACGTAACGCAACAATAAAATAAAATAAAAAAATGTATTTGGAAACGTGGAAAGTATTTGCTGCGTGCGTAGAAAAAGAAAAACGGTCGTCTAGGAGTTAGATAGGAGTTTTCCTTTCATGAGTGATCGAAATGTTACGTATTTGAACATGTGACTCCTTGAAATGTTGTCAATTTTGTGGGTTCAGGTACGCTTATCGAAGGAGCGAAAGAAAGGGGATAAAATAGTAAGCGATTCTCAAGAGCGAGCATTTTGGAGAGTTTACAGGCCGCCACCTGGTTGTCTAAGTAGCCTCGAAGTAACACCCGTACCTACGCGTTTTCATCCTGGACTTTCACGTCCTCCATCGCGTAAACGCACTTTAACCGATCTGCAACGCGAGGTAAACAAACATTCTTTTCTTTCGAACTCTTGTCGTTCCTTTTATTTCGCGCATCTCTAGCTCTAGTCGATCCAATTTTTTTCTTCAGCCGTTTCTTTTAACGATATCTCATTTCGAATTTTCGACACACACGTATATATATATATATATATATATACGTACACACGAATTCTTGATTGAAAATATTTTACATTTTAGTGAAAACAGGATCGATGGGATCGATATATACAACGATAGTCGTAAATTCAAAACGTTAAACAATCATCACTTTCATGCGCACGAATTGGATCAATTCGGAATTTGTAACTATTGCGAACAAAATTTTTTATCACTACGATTTTAACTACGTATACATATATTTAAAAGAAAGAGGACGTGTATACAATATAGTTGTAAAACTCTCGAGTTTCTTATCCTCTCTTCTTCGAAAATGTTTCGAACGTTACGTATATATATATATGTGTGGTGTGTGTGCGTGTGTGTATTTTTAACGCATTAAAGAGACGCGGTTTAATTATATTATTATACGTTGCTCGATCGACCAATGAAACGAGAGATATCATCACGTTCATAAATGGTAAATTTTTTCAAACTCTCGATTCTTCTTTTCGATCTTTCGCCAACCATTTCATTCTTTTACGATCGAGATGGTCAAGATGAATCGAGACTCAAGTTTTGCGTGTTTGCAATTTCTTCCATCAAGTTTAAACAACGATAATAAACATCGTATAATTTAGCGTAATAGATTGTTATGCTCGAAATATATATGTTCTCGTAATATATTTTAATACAATTTGTTACGACTTCTTTTTAAATATTAGGTGGCTCTTTTGAAGAACAGCTTAACGCGTACAAGAATTAAAGTTTCGGCTGCTATCGAAAATTTCAAGTCATACTACCAAACATACGAGGAATACGATCCAATGATTACACAGCCACAACCTTCCAATCCATGGATTACCGACGATCAAACATTTTGGCAGTTCAACAGTCCTCTGTTAGTATCTCGACTATGTAGCAATGTAAATTTTTCACGAAAATATGCATATATATATGTCCATATTACAGAAAAGTAATAATAAAAAATTTCTTCAATTTCATTTTTACCGTGCGCAGAGTGGAAATTCCTACGGAAAAACGTGTTAAGCGATGGGCATTATCCATGGAAGAGTTAATGTCCGATCCTACTGGTAAGTTACTGCATATCTACTGTACTGTTAGATAATCGCATTATTAATCGCATCCTTCTATGATTTTTTCTTTTAGTTAAATAAAATCCATTTTAGATTATTTTATCCTTTTTTTTTATTTTTATTTTTTCCCTCAAGAGTATTATATTTAATCTTAATACGAGTGAAAGCGAAGGGGAATTGATAGAGAAATAAGGAAAATAGAAAATGAAAGTTGAAAAAAGAGAAGGGAGAAAAGATTTGATCGATATAATTATAATTATAATAATTTTATTTCACGCGCGTGCATTTCTTCTCATTTCGTTCTCGTCTCGTGTTTCGTGTTTCAGGTTTGCAAGAGTTTACGCAGTATTTGAGAAAAGAATACAGTCATGAAAATATACGATTTTGGTTAGCTGTTAAAGATTTGAGGCATAGTTTTCAAGCAAAAATACCCGACAAAGTTAACGAAATCTTCAGGTATGCCGGTTGTTTTTTACCTTTTTGCCGTACTTCCGTAAATCCGTAAATCGTCGATTGTATACGTATTGCGCACAATCGATGAAATTTTTCCTTTTTTCCAGAGAATTCTTAGCACCTGGAGCACCTTGCGAGATAAATATAGATGGGAAGACGATGGAAAAAGTTCATCAAGAGATGAAAAATCCAAATCGATTCACGTTTGATTCCGCCGCCGAACACGTGTATACGTTGCTTTTGAAAAAGGATTGTTATCCTAGATTTATTCGTTCCGATCAGTATCGAATTTATTAGCCGCTGGTGTGCAACCTTCGCAAAAAAAATGGTACGTTCTTGAACTTTAGCTTTGTCGCTCTCTTTTTCAAATACTTAATATCTTATCTTATATATAATGTATAATTGTGTAGGTTTTTTTTCGGGGGACAAATGAAAAAGAAAGTTTCTTCGACTTCGACTTCGATTTCGGCTCCAACTCCGACAACGAGCACGTTGCAACACCATGCTGTAACCGCCGGTGGGGGAGGAGGGACTGGTGGTGGTAGTAAACGCAGGGGAAGCGATCGAAGTCTTTCCGGATCTGCTCACGAGTTAGCCGTTTGTGGTATTCGAGATACAAGTTCGACAATGCCTAGAGTACCGCATTCCCACAGTCAATCGAATCTCACCGATATTCCATATAGGTAAACGATCGCTTTCTTATTTATTCGAAATTATCAATAATGCTCATCATCGAGATTGTATTATTCGTACGTTTGATCAAATTTTTATCGCTACTCGTTGAGTCGAATTATAGAATCTTTATCTTTATCATTTTTTTTCTTTTTTTTCTAACAAATAAACAACACGTATAAAAATAACGTTATAAGTTTAAAGAAGAAGGAGAAGAAGAAGAAGGGAAAGGGAATATTGGAAAGTATGAAAAATATAGCGAACGTTTATTAATTAATTAAAATTTATCGGATATATGGGCATAGCCTATGTAATTATGTGAACGTTTAAAAAATTATTGATAAACGAAACGTTGGTTCTTTTTTTTTTTTTTTTCTTTTTAAGGAAATGGATTTTCTATGCGTCGTAGATGTACACAAACACGATATTTTTATTTCATCTTTGAAACTGTCTGTACGTTATTCATGTCTCGATCGTACGGATATATTAATCGAAAAATTAAAAGGATCGTTTCCGTAATGATATAACGTGATAACATACTGTGTAATGATACGAATATAACGAATTGTGTTTTACGAGATAAAAGAATGAGAGAGAGAGAGAGAAAAGAAAAAAGATATCAGTACGGTATTTTCAGGGGAGATCTGGCTCGACTCGTAAAGATTCCAACAAGGCCTATCCCGCATAACGTTCAGTAAGTCCTCGAAAATAACTTGATAATTTCCTTGCATAAGTATGAGAATACGAATCTTTTGACTCAGTTTCAGTTTTTAACAAATCCTGTATTATTCGATGTATCTTTCCAAAATGTCGAGCACTGTTGTGAAAAACGTTTTATGTATGCAAAAATTCTCGATGTTTTATACAATTATTCTCGATGTACGTGCAAACGTACGAACGATAATGTTTGTACATCTATCTTATTCGTAAACTTTCTTCTCTATTTATATCGAGCATTTCAATTACTTGGATCTCGAGATATTACGTCTTTTGTATATATCGTTCTAACCGTCCTTCTCTTTTCTACTTTTTTCGCTTTATCGTTATTTGCGACACCATCACCAAGTTATTTACCTATTTACACACGTATATATCCATTTCCCCAATTTGATTTGATCGTTGTCGTATATACTTTCCATTTATTATCGATGCACCAAACATAATCGAATTTTTCTAAGCAGTTACGAGATATTTCGTACGATTTCAATCTCATTTCTGACATTAATTAACTTAACTAAACTATTCTAAATGATATATCTTAATTTCATATTCGCGTCAGATTATATCAGTGTATATATATATATATATATATATATGCATTGTAATATATCGAAATATTTCGTACAATTGTCATCGTACGATCGTTTCGTTATTATCGACATTTGTCGAAAACTTGTCATTTTTTTCTTCGTTAGATTCAAACGATCGGTCGATTTTTCGATACATATGTAATGTATACATGTATGAATATGTATATATGTATGTATGTATGTATGTATGTATGTATGTACGTACGTATGTACGTGTAAGGCAATAGCTTGGATTTTTAATGTTTCAATTTAATCTCTCCGCGATATAATAATTCTCAATCGATTATATTATATTATTTTAAAACGGGTCTTAAGCGGATCGAGCGAATCGCTTTATTTTTTTCTTTTTTTTTTTTCTCTCAAATTACGATTATTAATTATAATTAATTTTCGCTCCTCTCGTTATGTCGGCTTATACATATAACACATGTAACGAGAAAAAAGGGGAAAAGGTATCGGGTTTGAAATGATGTGAAAAAAGTTAAAGAAAAAAAAGGAAAAAAAAGAGAAATAAATAGATGAATAAAAATTGAAAATTTGTAAAAAAAATTATGGAAAAGAATCGGGCGAAAATGTCGGGAGAGCTGTGGACGATCGAGAGAGATACTTTCCGATCCTCGTTTGGCCATTTTCTGGCACGTTTTACACTTTTTTTTTTTTTTTTTTACACGTTGAAAAGTAGGATTATTATGTGCATGACGAATCTATCGACGAAACTTGACGTACGAAAAGAATGGCGAAACGAGAAGACGAGATATCCGAGGAGACTTGAACGAGGAGAGAAATGTAAAAATGAAATCGTATAATAAAGTTGGTGTTGTCAGGGATGCTGGCACGTCGGAAACATCGATGGCTCGCCCTATGGACGACGTTTGCCCGTGGGACGTGGCTCCAGGACCGAGTATAGAGCACGATATAGATACAGGGGCACAGCTACGCCATCCAATGTCATCTGGAGTGACGTCATCGGTTGAAAGCCAAGCGGAAGAAGGAAATAGTAACTTGATTAGCCAGTCGCAGTCTGTCGAAGTTGGGGCACGCCCGTCTCGCAAAAATTCATCGCAATTCGATTCCTGTAGTTCTTCATCCGACGTCAGTTTGGCGGTGACAGAAGCAGTATCGGAACACCTTAGAAAGTCTTGTAGTTTGCAACAAAGTAGCAGCACGGGTAAATTTTTTTTTAATATTCATCTCCATCCACTCTACTATATTTTTCCTCTTCTTGAGTAGAATTCTCAAGAAGCTGTCCGATTAAACTGTTCGTTGTGATATTTCATCCATCCCCGAGATACATTTGAATTATCGTTCTTCGGCTTCGAAAATCGTTGGAAAGAACGAAAGATGGAAGAAAATTGGTCGGATCACATTGGTTAATTGTACGATCGTTATTTCTGATTGTTGGACGATATAGGTGGTGGTGGTGGTACCTCGGAACGAATCTGTATGACAACGCGAAATTATTCCATCGGCTCGGTCGGCGGAAGAGCGAAACTTGGAGAGATCGGTCGGCCAATGGCTTCGTCCTTTAATTATCCGTCGCCGCAGCATTCGTTCGAATATTCGCACGTGGTGGCGGAGATCCGATCGGAAGGATCGAAGGATGTCGCCGAGGTGGTTGAAACCGAAACGAGGTCGAAGGAAAAGGAGCACGCGAGGAAAAGTTCGAGCAAGGCCCCTCTGATAAGTATCAGCGCGATCGTGGGCGATCTGGCGAGCGACAGCGCGATCGCCGTTCAAGAGGAGGAGAGAAAGGAGGAGGATTGTGGCAAGGGTGTGGCGGCGAGGGAAGGAGAGATAGAAATTGAGAAAAGGAGAGGGGGGGAGGTGGAGGCGAGTGATAAAGGCGAGGCGGTTATCGTCGCGGAAGAAAATTTGGCGGTCTCGACTCGAATCGAAGAGTCGACGGAGACGGAGGAATCGCTGGAAGAGGCGCAAGTCGTTCCTGTTTGGGAGCCGGACACCCGACAGGACGACCAAATAGCACCCGTTACCCAACCAGCTCCTCAACAAAAGCGTGACAATAACGTTAACGAAGTGTGCCCGTGGGAAGACGAGTAAGTATCCATTTACGCCTTCGATTTCTACCATTCATCTTAGAGAATTTTTAACAGTTTTTTACGAGTTTCTTCGGAACTTTTCTTTTTTTTTTTCGGCTCGCGTTTCGTTTACTCGACGACGCTCGTCAAACCCGTGTCGAATCGCGGCGTTTAAGATCGACGAATTTAACGATTGTTTACGATTTGTTTCAGGGAAAACTGTAGAGTGGATGCACCCTATGTGAAAACTTACGCGACTTTAGGTTACTTGTAACTTTAGGTATCGGTACTAAGCATACATTTCACGTATAAACATTTGCAATTTCAATTCCCATTTTACTTCACTTTTGCCAAGCCCGAGTGCCCGAAACTATTTCAAGCGTATTGATCATCGTTTCTCGAAAGGCTCGTTATATTTTCATTTCATTCCGAAAGATGGATCGATTCGAGAATTTCCTTATTACTTGTTTCCTACCGTTGTAACAGACGGATATTTCATCGTAATTGACGAAATGATTCGAAGTGAAGAGAAATGAAAAGAAGATTTACCTCGCCACGTTAAACAAGTGTAAACGAAGAGGCAAGCAAGCAAGCGAGCAAGTAAGTAAGTAAGTAAGTAAATAAATAGATAAATAAGTAGGTAAGCAAATAAATAAATAAATAAATAAGTAATTAAAAAGAATCTTATTTGTATAAAGATACTTTGTGGTTATTAGACACGATCAGCATGGATTTAAAGTAAAAAGTTTGCCTCGAAGCGCGTAGAAGCAAGAGAAATGTTAATTATTTATTTATTTATTTTATCTCGATTTACGCCAATTTCGTCACGACGTCACGAATAAGAAAGTGAATAAGCAAAGCTGTAAACGCGAACGGCTGCTTCGACGCTGCCGTCGAGTAAGATAATTAAAGAAATCCGAAATCCAAAAAGTTAAATTTCGTTGGCCGAACGATGAAATATACAGTTCGCGTCGTTATATATTTTTCAAGCTTTTGAAAATAATCGATTTATTCGGCGAAAGTATTAAATGCAAAGATGCGTTCTGCGAGTGCTAGTCAACCATGAGCCCATTGACCGCTCTCGTAGCTCGCAAATTTCTTCGATACGAGCAAACAGGAACGAGGAAAAATTAGGATGGCGCGAAAAAACTTTACCAATTTAATTCCAATAAATCGTTTCGAAACGAAAAAAATTTTGTCGGAATGGATTGTACGGAAGGGGTTTGTAACGAATATAATGTAATTATATACGATTGTTTCAATTTCAATTGAATGAATCGTTCGAATTGGATGACGAAAAGGTTATGAAAATAAAAAACGTTAAATTAAAAACGTAACGAGTGATTTAGATCACTTTGCTTCGCTTGATAAAAATAACTTAAATGTCTCAAATGATGTTTGATCGTCGTTTTCAAATCCAAGCGTCGTCACGTTTATCGATACGTTATAAATGTCGAACAACGGCACCAAGAACGGGGGAGCGTAACTTTAACTCGCTCGTTTGCCTGATATCTATCGGGCCTGCTGACGGTTAAACGTTTAACGAGTATTACCAAAATAAAAAAAAAAAAAAAAAAAAACGAAACCTGTCTCACTTTTAATCTCTTTAGAAACTCGGTATTTAACTTGTAAATCGTTACTCGACTCGCGCTGTTCCTATTATCAAGATCGAGATTCAATTTCAAAAGAGGGAAAGAGAGAAAAAGGAACGAGAAACGTGAAATGATGTAATAATAATAACGATTCGTTTGTTTATCACTTATTTAGAAGATATCGAATCTTGTTCTATATATATATATATATATACATATATCGCGTTTATCGGGTTCTCGGTACTGTTACTGCCCCAGTACCGAGATCCCTGCGATCTAAACGAATTCCAATTCTCAAGTTAATCGATTAATTAAGAGAAATTTAAGAAAAATAACTAATAAACACTTGTTCCGCTCGACGATGTAATTTAACTTATTCTCTCCCTTAGAGAATTTATTCGATCGCTTGTTAAAAAAAAAAAAAAAAAATGGTAGGAACGCGTCGTTGTATCGTAAGAAATTAGGAAGATAATCTTATTATAGAGCATTATACGTACACGTGGTAATCGTAATATTTTATGAAAATGAAATTGTATTAATATTAATCGGAGTGGGAAAGGATCGATTCGATCGTAAATTATACGCGTAGTGGTAATACTTGTCTGCTATACATATATATGACATATATATGGACTCGATTATCAAACGAAATTATAAAACATCGTTACTATCGAAAACTAAAAAAAAAAAAAAAAAAAAAAATTACGAACGACTGGAAAATAGATATTTTATCGCTTCGTTTCTTTTGGAATATTTCGACGAATATTCCGACTCCGATATATCCTTACCTTGCGAGAAGGAAGAGAAGAAGAAGAAGAAGAAGAAGAAGAGGAAGAAGAAGAAGAAGAAATTGATTTACGACAACGATACATATACGATATCTATTTACAATTATTTCGTAGAACAAGATAGAAAAAGTTGGGGCACTCGAGGCTAATCTTAAGAAATCCTGAGACGTATTCACGACAACGATCGTGTATCGTTGATTCAACAGCTCAATTTAACTATTGTAAACATCCTTATGAAAAAATAGATAGTCGGTTAATAAGATAAAAGTGAGATATTGCGATTCTTATGGGGAACGAATATAAGATATAATATACGAATCATAATGAAATACGGGATAGGTATCGAGATGATTTTTCCGTTAGTCTCAGCATTAGAAAATGTACGTAGTTTCGACGTGATGACTGACGATTAGTCTTATTTACGAGATACGATGATTCGTGAATAGAGACTATTCACCTACCTATATAATAATAATAATAATAATATATATATATATATAGTATATGCCACGTTGAAGAATAAAATTTCGTTCGATCAAGCATGCGACGAGAAATAAAAAAATAGGTTGGTAATAAATAAATTACGACAAACGAATCAAACAACTATTTTTGTTCTCTTTTTGCAGAAACGTTTTATATTGTATTGTGCGTATGTAATGCCGTTCCGTCGTTATTATTACAATTTTTCAATCACCGATCGTGAATAATAGATTTTATTCGCTATCGTTTACTCGCTGACTCGTTATCGCATCACCCTTGCATATAATACACATATAAGGGGCAATCGAAAGGATCGTTGTACGTCATGAATCTTTAAGCGTTATTCGATTTCACGTTCCGTTCACGTGTATCGGTGTATTTTTTCGTGTTTTTTACGTAAATTGGTAAAAAAAAAAAAAAAAAGAAAACGAACGGGGAAAAGTGACGTATCTGTTGGCCATTATTTTTTTCGTTCGAACGGCTGCATCACGAGAGATCCGAGAGTAATCGATATCGTAAATAGAATTCGAAGATCGAAACGAAAATAGAGTAGAGTAGAGTAAATGACAACAACAAACAAATTACTCGACGACTTTCTTTTCTAATTATTTTCCCGATATTTTTGATTCGAGAAAAAGAATTATCCGATTTGTCGAATGTTGCCCGTTAATTTTTATAAATTAATTAATCTCTCTTTCTTTCGATTCAATTGTTATCTGTTATAGTAAAAAGGCGCTATAATCGTACGCCGATCATTCGTAATCTGTCTACGAGTAACACAAGAAAACAGATATTTGAAACGGTCCGCGAATGTTAAAACACGTATTCCGAGGTTTCGTCGATATAGCTCACGGTCGGTTATACTATTTTTATTTCAAAGCTAAATGTTAAATTGCATCGGTGACGCGAAATTTTTTTTGCAATCGGAATCGGTATCTTTCGTCGAGTTTTTCGTCGGATCCGAGTAGAGAAGATTGGACAGAGCGTAGGAACGGAATAAAATAATTTTATTTATGATATTTGATTCGCAATATTTGGTCGAGTGCTTGTCGTATTATTAAATCTATTTATATCTATCTTTCGCTGATCGCGCACGTAAACGAAAACAATCGGAACGTATCCCTTTTTATTTTTATTCTCCATTTCTAGATCTTTGCCAATAGTACAAATGTAACTTAAAGTATAGCGTAATTTACGGATAAACCTGGCTCCGATACGATCTGGATACATAAATCGTACCAACGCATCCATCGTTATTTTTTTTTTTTTTTCTTTTCTTTTCTTCTCTCTTTCGTTTGTTTTCCTTTGAAAACACGCCTTTTCTTTCCTTCGTATCGTTGAATAATCGATATCGTGCAAACGTTTTAAATTTTGAAAAAAACGAAACAAAATATTTTACTTGTTTTTTAGACAGTTATTAAGAGTTAATCGAGATTTCGGTTCGATTATTATTATCGAGTGAAATTAAATTGCGATTAAATTGATGCAATTTTCGAGTATCTCGTTACCCACTGTCGTTTCCCACCTACGCGACACGTACGAATAATTAGTAACTGGTCGAGAACGAGCCACGTTTATCGGGAAAAGACTGAAAACGTACCTGAAATTCACCCCTCCTTCGAAAACTCGTGTTGTAACAAATTCTACGACTAACGTTTTAGAATAACTAGTATTGTCCTCATCGTTTCGATAAAAAAGGGGGAAAATGTAACTGATAAAAGAATATCTCGAGAAGAAAGACGAAGATAATTTTAAGCGTTACTACGGATGAGAAAAGGGGTGATCGATTCAAGATTTCAGCGATCCTTGACGTGTCCCGAGACGTTTCATCTGTATTTTGTATTAGATCGATTTATCGCCAAGTCGTTTTAACGAGAGTATAATATATATATATATATATCTATGTATATATACATACATACATACATACATACATACATACATACATACATACATACATACATACATACATATATATATATATATATATATATATAATAAGTTA